TACCATCGACAGGAATCTTCATTGGTCTACAGATATTTACAATTGTATGGAAAAATTGAAACGCCTATCTGTTTGGTTACGCAAACTCAGTCAATTCCGAACCCCACAGTCAGTCCTACCCTCTTTCGTTCATCAATGAGTTCTACCCAATTTACTCTATTACTCTCCTGTAATGTTTCCCGGTTTTTCAAAACAGGATTTCAAAACAATTCGCCGTTATTTGGTGATCATCAGTAGTGCATCATAAATTCCGGTCGATTCATTAATCATAGACCTCATTGATGGTCACATCTTCTCTTGTTTTAAATTTGCTCACAAGATTCTAGATGACCCTCTTCATCCGCTGCACCCTGATCTTTCGTCTTGTCGTTCCCATCCATCCACAGGCTCCTCATTTCTGCACCTAGCCTCTCGAATTAACATTTATAAAAATTCCTCTGGCCACTTCTTCGCCCGAATCCAAACCAAAAGGTCACAAGTGAACTACATCAAACGTTTTGTACACGAAACAAATTTGAGCGACACTATTTTCTGTTCGTATTATATTTCATTTCACTTCATTACTATTATTATTTCATTCCGCGTGACGAAGAGTTTATAGCATGTATGCTTACACAAGTTATACAAATACAATACAGTGTGGGGAACAGATCAAATCTGGCTGCATGAATACTATTTCTCAGTGGACTCTGCCTTCTGCGATCAATCTCCTCCGCCCTATGTTATTCGTTGTGCTCAAAGTCACGTGTTAATTGCCTATTAGAATGATGCAAACCGATTTCAGTTCCAAATGAGCCTCCTAACCGCATGCACCGTGGAGCTGCTCATGCAGAAACTATCTGAAAATTGGTTTTCAGATGTATGCCTAATGAATGGTACCACTGAGTGATACACTGGCAAACCGGAATGTTGTGGGTACCAGGAATACAGAAGACTTAGTGTAGTATCTATCTATCTATCTACCTATCTATCTCTTGGGCGTGTCAGTAGATCACAGCGGTGAATGATTGACACGACTGGTTTGGTGAACGAATTTCCCACGCAAGTTAGCCAGCTAAAACCACTGCTTTAGAAACCAAGTGGATGAATTATCCAACACAGACAACTCCAACTGACCAAAACGATTTCCCAATGGATTTATTTGGATTGACCAAATGTTATCATGCGCTAGACTGATTGATTTAGTCCGCATGCAACTCAACAGGAAAGTCGTGAGAACGCGTCGGTTTTCAGCTGTACCTGTTTCAAAAGTCCTCCAGTGTTCACACGATTTACATATAGAGAAACTAAACCGATCGATAAAGCACTTGTAATGAAACGATTTTGAAAATCATTCTCACAGTAATTCACGAGTTGAGTGACTGAAGAATGCAGTGCACTTTACTAGTAAAATTGTTTATTGCTTCTCATGATACGGTTGTTGAACTGAGCTCAGCAGCTCCAAGGTTCATATGGTGGATGAAAAAATACATTCGAACTGACAGTGAGGCTAATAGAGATTAGATACATTCGATCTCTGAAGCCGAGATATAAATACCGTTAGGAAATGGCTAAACAGCGTCATTTGTGAAGTCGGCGGAATGTTTCAAAATTATTTCTACGACGTCATTGGGTCATATGCAATTCGCGATTGAACATATCGTCATATAAGCATTACTAATAAAAGTATGACGATTTCACTGATGAAAATATTCCCGAGCAGTATACAATGTATTTCGTGAAAACCTCGAAATGGAACAGATTTTATGCTCCACATGGATAAACGATCCTGTGCTCTGTATCCCGCTCCAGGAAAAGCAAAACTTTAGTTACATTTTGGTGACATTATCAACGTGGTTGCTAGGACTGAGAAACTTTTATAAGCATACATAGTCCCTCGTCTGTTAAAAATCGATCGGGAATAGTTCTACAATGGCTGTAAACTGTCAATTAGCTCAATGTATTGAGCATCAAACGTACAGTTTCCAGTGGCTGTTTCATCTATCAAACTGAAATTCGGCTATTTGATTCCCGGCCAAGAATTAAAAAGATCCCGTATCGATAAATCTAAGCAAAGACGAAGCAAATTCATTAGTGAAAATGTTTATTCGTAAAGTTTATTCGGCAGTACTTCGATTCTGTCATAAACCTTAGAAACATGCATAGCAGACCAAATTAAAGCTTTCATAAACACATTTAGGCTGAAGTTAAACCGGTTCTTTCAAAAGAAAGTAAAGACAGTGAATGAAATGGGATGCTGTAAAGCACCGTGCACCGTCATTTTATTCTTGACAGCTTACATGGGCAATGCCAACAGATCGCTACAACCGTGGACAAAATGCAAGACATTTATTGAATTACTAATGTTGTAATTAAAGGCAAGTTTCCTTACTCGAAGCATGGCGTGAGATAGTGAGAAGCAATCATGGACAGCCACATTGTAGGAGAGTTGCGCAGGTGATGCAGTCGTTAAAAACTGAGAACGTCTACAACCTTTTGCCGAATCGGATGTTTTTTTTGACTGGTTTGTCAAAACAGGAATCGTCAATCGAGTGAGCATAAAAATCAAAGCGAACATGTGAGACTTTGAATTATGTTCGTCCCAACAATTTACGTTTCACCCTTACTAATCTCATAAGTCATATTGTTTGGACTAACTGACCTTATGCGTTCTCCGCTATTCTCGCCGCCTCCATATAGAACTAGAATTGGTTTCTAGAGCCCCCAAGCTTTTGCATTTTATGTGACCGCATACCTCATGAGCAATTTGTACATTTCATTTGTTATTGTTAATGTCTTTGTTATTGACAGTGGTGGTGGTGGGGGGGGGGTAGTGGTGGTGGTGCTCAATTCAACAACGACAGCTCACTCACGATAGCGCTAACTCGATAGTTGTCATTAAAATTTTTAACTGCACTATGAACCTCAAATGATGCAGGGAAATTGAACCCCGCAAATAAATTTCATCAAACTGTGTTGCTGTGTTCTTTATTCGATCATCATTGCCTGTACTGTAATGATATCATTCCTTGTTTGGTGCACGGAGCTACTAATTGATTTCGGTTTGCCCACCAAAATGTTCATTTGTTGAGCAGTAGTCTTAAATATAATTATTCCGCAGCTTATCATTTCAGCTACTGTCATTTGTGTTAATCGATGCTTTGTATCCGTTGAACTGCCAGTCAGCATACAAGCACTCATTCTGTCCTGCTTAACTCAGTCGGAAATTGGCACGATCCATTTCTTTCTCAATGACTTGCCTAGATCTACTTCGTGCCTAAACGTTAAGATTGAACTCATCAAATTAACCACTCGATTCCGGAATGTTACTCTCTCAAGTCACTGCTACCAAAACACAAGGTGTGCAATTCTGGTGAACCGTAGTAAGATTTGTGTATCAAATGGATTGCTCATTATTGAGGTCTGCCATAGCAAGCAACGCTTCGCCTCGAGGGCAATTTCATCCAGTGCCGATACGATGTAGAGTGTTGGGCAACATGATCGATTACCGAAATCATTTCCTCCAGTGGACTGGTAAACTTCGATATTGTATTCTGTGTGGCCTTTTCATACATGTTTTGTGATGCGTTGGAGATAATAATAATTTAAGAACATACAGTCATATAGAAAAGTAATACATTGTAGCCGCGCTTTAACTAGAAATTGGAAATTATGCTGAATCTCTAGTTGAGCAGAGACTTAGAAATCTATCTGCGTTACGGGTATTCAAACGTTCACCGCCTTACTGACTACCAATATAAAACATTGCACAAAATAATTCTCCATCACAACCACTAGATTCTTTGTTATTCACCTGGGTGATAGAATGACTTTTACGTAATCAAGAGGGTCAAAAGTAAGTGAATATAGCATAGACGCAAATGCGCAAGTTTTTGGATGAGGAAAGCAGTTATTCAAAATAAAAAAATAGATATTACATTTCAGGGCCATTGGAATAAATCGCTCTATTGAGGTTTCACATTTTCCTTATCTGGAGATTTTGAAAGACAAAAGACGAAGCGATCGAATCAAATCATCTAAACGGTGACCCTTAGAAATTTGTAATCAAGGATTCTCGATCATCTGACACTTGCAAGACGGGGAACTGCAATAAAAAGGACAGACTTAAGGGCAGTGAGTCAATCATGATGATGATGATGATGATAATCTTGGTGCATATTTATATGGTGGTTCTGCAAGGGCATCAATCGTGAAGATAGGTGTCAGACAGAATACGATACAGTTATTTTCCAGTGCGCATCACTAACAACAACATGGCTAAATCTCAACTACTCAACCAGCTGTCAGATTCATGCTAGACCTGATTTCCCGGTTGACATTGTATCACATATGAACAATCAATTTTTCAAGGATTAAAATCCGTTGATTCTATTCCGCTATAAAAAGCTTACATAGCAGCCACCTTGTGAGATAGACGAATAGAAATTTGAAACAATGTGTATCCCTCTTATTTGCCATCAGTTATTTTGAAGAATAAAGGAAATGCCCTCATCTCTCTGAATATGCATCCTCTTTCGGTTTTGAGCAGATAAACAGGTCAGATTGAAGTTCATTACCATGGATGATTGAGATACTTGATTTCAGATTCGATTTAGTATTTGGACGGGTAACTTGAATGTTATATCCTCTGGTATAAATGGAATTCATCTAAACCCAGTCATGAAAACTTTGATTTTATTTTAACCCACCTATTAGAACATCATTTTTGGAAAACATCTGCCGCTTTTAAATGTTTAAGCTTTCAGTGAATAATCATTTTACATATTTATTACTAAACATTATAAAAACATACATAGAATTGTACACAGAAGAAAGAGAAAAAAGATAAGGTAGGGAAAGTGAATGCGCCATATAAGAGGATAATATATATATATATATCATGTCTTAGATACAAAGTGGCAGGAATAAGGTGAGCGGGTGATAAATAGGCAATTTTGGGGAAGAAAACGGAACAGATAATGATCAACACAAACAGAGACACACGGGGTTGAAAAGAAATGTTATTTAGGTGTTTTATACAACAGAAAATCTTTTCCACGTAGAGTAAAGAAAATAAATTTGTCGGTTTCGTAAGTGAAGTAGCTGAAAAGATGAAATAAGTGTCGTTTAGCTGTGGCATAAAGATTAGCTTAAAAAAACGGAAAAGAGACATTTGGTTTAACTCACTCACCTGTAAAAGTTCTTGCCTACCACACAGTGCCACGGCGCATCGTGTTTGTTGTCGAATTCCCTCTTGATGTAGCCCGGAATCTCTTCCGGTGCGGTACAACGATCCACCGCCTCGGCTGCCACTTGAAGAGCTTCGTCTTGCATATCAAAATCCATCTCTGCGCTCAAAATCAACGCCTTCACATCCGGCATTGTTTTGCGGTTATTCTCCTGATTTGACTATCGTCCAAGCACACTCATACGCGGTCGGCCCGACGAACACGAATTCGTCGTACTAAAGCCAATTCACACAGAGAAACGCACAAGTTATACAAAGGCACTGGTATGAGCACATCCCTGCGAACGTGAATAATTCCGATTCAAGGCAAACACCACAGATGCACTTCAGGTGGGCTGGTGTGTGTGCGCGTCTGAGACGAAGTAGCAGCAGCAGCAACAACAACAACAACAACAAGAGCGTCTGAACGAGTATAAAATCACTCGGGGAATTATTGATCGATTAAGCACTATGAATAAAGAAAGCATTTGCTCCTGGTGGTGGAGGTGGGGGTGGTGTTGTGATGCTATGAATGCATCCGAGCTGGCAGGTATTAGCACATATAAACACACACACAAACCAACAGGAAAAGATATTAGTGCACACTGCCAGACACGGCACGGCACAGATAGACAAACGGCTTGTAATGTGTGGGTGGGAGCAAAATAGTTTAGAGCGATTTAATCCACGAGTTTGACAATTCACACGTCTGAATCCAGTAAATGACATTCAATCTGTGCTCAACGGGAAGTTGTATCAAATGTCCATGTATTCCTTCCGTAAAACACGAAAGTGAACGTGAATCCAGGGTGGGGTATAAAAATAGATTGTTGTCTTGTGATATCCCGGGAAGAGAAGAATGCACATGATGAGGCGTTTGATGCTCACATTGATCGCACTAGTAGATCAATAAGGGTGACACTGAACATCTGAATGTTTTCTTTCCAGTAGAGCATGGGCGGATCGATCAGTCTATCGATCACGAACGGTTAATAACCTGTCAAGAACGGGGATACAAAAACGCGATGCCAGAAGTGCACACGTGATTTCACATTAAGTGGACGACAGGGATTTGGAACAGAAGAAAATAAGGACTAGGCAGGTGGCTCTCATCTACTCACGTGCACGAAACTCAAATTGGTATAGTCTCGCAAATAAACAAAATAAAACAGACTAGAATAAGAGGTGAAAACAAGTGAACAGAAAACTGCATAGAGTTCACCAGTCTTTAGTTGCTGTCACAGGCGTGCTTTGGACCCTATGGTTCGAGGTTCGAGCCCCGCCACCACCACCCAACAGCTGTACATTGGTCCGATTCAATACCACACCTAACCTATTGCGATCTTATGTGGTTCGCTACTCCAAGTCTTGGGGCTTAGGTTGCCGGTCTCCATCACTACACAGCGGGTTCTCGTAACTATGTGGCTTTCCTCGTCTGCTGTTCATCACTTGAGATTGTGTAATAAAAAGTCATCAGATCTTTCAAATGAGGGATTCGAATACGGCGGGGGACAGTAACAATTTGGTATTTTTATATGTAGCAGTGTCCTACTTGTTTGAGTTTTTGCCGGAACCAATAGCAATCATGTGCTTGATATTTTCAATTGTAGAAAACTGTATTCGCGAAGAAATTTCTTTTCGATATATCGCATCAGGCGTATATAGGGTGATCATAATACAGATGTCTGATTGGCCGATTAGAGAGCTCAGTTAGTAACGATGACAGAGGCGAGCAAACAGATCAAAAGAATATGACAAGGCTGCAGTGACAGTCGTGGGTGGAGGTGAGAACACAAAGGTCAAATGGACAAGCGTTCGAGAGATGAGCAGATTAAATGAAGGTTGTGAAGGTTGTAAGACAAGAGGGCGGGATGAAGTTACATAATATACGGTAGAAACTATAGGTCATGCATAGCAAGTGATGTAATCAGAAAGGGATATACATAATTCTGGATTGGAAATTCGAATTTCAATCGCCTCGGCCGTGGTTAAAAGCCGGTGAAGAAATTGAAAGAGTTGATTCTCAGATGTACATTTAACATACAGTTTTTGTACAATGACCGGTTATACAGATAAATCGACGGGGTAGCCATGGGGTCTCCAGTAGTTCTCATATTGGGAGATATTTTCCTAGCTAAACTGGAGAACGAAAATTTGAGTGAGCAAGTTCGACATTTCGACATTTATTGCAGCTACCTCAACGATACTTTTATCGTTTGTGATTCTCACACCAACCACATACAGCTTCTCGACGAATTCAACAAGTGTCATCCGGCTATTCGTTTCACCTGCGAACTAGAGAAGAGCGGACAGCTACCCTTCTTAGATGTGTTATTAACAAAGCGGGACAACGGTGCCATCCAAAGAAGCGTCTTCGGCAAAACAACGTGGGTTGGACAGTACACGCATTTTTGTAGCTTTGTCCCCCTAAAATATAAACGCAACCTGATCAGATGTTTATCATACCGAGAGCGTGTGATTTGCAGCGAGGATACACTGCAGTCCGAGATACGTTTTATTCGCGAAGTACTTCGGTCAAATGGTTACCCGGAAGCTTTTATTCCTAAATATATAAGTTTGAAGACCGACACGAGCAAAATCCCCACCGTTCCGCACAAAAACGTTCTCCTTACTGTGCCGTTTAAGGGCGACGATGCCCTGGAACTTCTTAAAGGACGTTTGTCAAAAGCGATCTCTAGAACGTACCCTGCAGCTTAACCGCATATCCTCACTACCACTCGGCCCTTGGTGACCCAGCAAATTAAAGATAAGTTGCCTCTTCAGTCCGAATCTTTTGTTCTATATCTTTTCACGTTCACTTGTAGTGTGCTGTACATTGGACATACGACCAGGCGATTATCAAAACGTATTACTAAGCACTGTAACGCTGCCCTCTACAAAGGAACGATTAGATCTATTCGCAGCTCGGTTCTCGGTCATCTCGTCGATAGTGGGCGTTCTGTGAACAAATTCGATGCATTTAAAATTATTCACACTATACCCCGGATATATTCCAAAGGGATAAGAAGGCGGCTTTTAACCACGGCAGAGGCGATTGCAATTCGAATTTCCAATCCAGAATTATGTATGTCCCTTTCTGATTACATCAATTGCTATGCATGACCTATAGTTTCTACCGTATATTACGTAACTTCATCCCGCCCATTTGCACATTTGTAATTCCTGAACATACAATCCGTTCCCCAGTGAGGAATTATTATCATAGGACATTAGTTGCTAATGGTGTGATACAATAAGTTATTTAAAAATCTGGCGATTAAGGCTAGTGCTGATTGTGCTGGCAGATGGCGGATAGATTTGTTAACAAAACAATAGAGTGGCGAACAAGCTCGTTTTCAGAGATTCGTATTCATGCCAATACATCTCAATATATATATCAATAGTTGGGAATAAAATTGTCATAGGAAAATAAAATAAAAACATAAATTAATAAAAACGACTTCATCGTGAGACCGGAAATCGGGTTCACCACGATCACATGCTTGTTTGTCCACTCATCCGATCATCGAGATTACTCACGATGCGGTTTGTATGGGGGGGTGGGCCAAGGAAGCTTTAGCGCTTGCACAAATTGTTTTTGGGCACACAGAGAGGGGGTTGTGCAACCGAATGCCCACCGCTTCTGCTGTAGCCAATATCCGACAGCGAACCTACCTCGATAATCGCCCACGAACTTTGTACAGGGGTCGGAAAGCCTCGCACACGTTCACAGTGTGATTTGTTTCAGCTAGATGTGAAACCACTGCACTGGTGAGTGACTTAAGATTAAGAGAAAATTTGTCCACCTTCGGTTATTTGCTTGAGCGCACTGAACGGTTTTCCATCTTTGCCCCAAACCCATTTCTGTTCGAAACATAGACAGATTTGAAACCAATTCGTGCACCAATCGCTATCAACATACAGTCAATCTCGTGTTATGTCGCACCCCTGAGAAGTCGCATTTTCCAATACCTTCCCACTTTTTCGAAAACCCAAACCAATCGTTAGTCTAATAACGTAGTTTCTGACTATGCGATGTCGCACCCCCAATATGTCGCAGTTCCTGATACATACTCACTGTATCGTTGACCGATGTTCGGGACGACCATTGACCACCCCCGCTGAAATGTCGCACTCAGTCAATGGGGTTGCACCTAGTGTAACGCGTTCATGGCACTGTTCACTGACTGGATAATCCTTGCGAGGAAGTCAAACCGATGCTAGTGATCGGAGACAGTGTTATTTGATGTCAAAATGTGCAAGTGCCTTTCGATCAGAGAGAAGCAGAATGTGTTGGAAATGCTGAAGCAGCCAGGTGTAACTCAGAGCTCCGTGGCCAAATCCCTTGGAATTTCACGAAAAACTGTCTACAATGTTACATCGCATCGAACGACTATCGGGGAATTTTTGAACGCTGGTGCATCTGAGGGAAGGTGCCACCTAAAATCCAACGAAAATTTCAAGGCATTAAATGAGGCAACTTTGGCTTGGTTTACCGCTATGAGGGAAATGCACGGAGAGTTCCCAGTGGCGGAGAGGCAATCCAGCTGGCACAAAGATTGCATCATAATGACTTCAAGGCTTCCAATTTCGATCATAGTCAGGCAGATATGGTATTCAGTTGTACAAAGTAAGAAGCAAGCAACTCATGTGCATTACTTTACAGGTCTGCGGGGAAAGTTCAGCGGTACCACGCGATGCAGTGAATGAGTTTCGAGCGGGGTTACCGCAGTTGATACAAGGATATGCTGATTGTGATATTTTCAATGTAGATGAAACAGCTTTGTATTACAGGCAGCTCCCAGAAAGAACACTAAGTCCGAAAGGAGAAACGGTTTCCGGGTCCAAGAAATCCAAAGAAAGAGTTACGTTACTGCTTTGTGGAAGCATAGCTGGAGAAAAGTCATCACCCGTGGTGATCGGAAAGTTTCGAACTCCTCGATGCCTCCGAGGTGTAAATAGAAAAAGCCTTCCATGAAGTTATAATTCTCCAAAGAACGCATGGATGACTTCTACGTTATTTCACAGTTGGCTGTCCGATGTCAACCGCAAAATGGTTTCTCACAGACGATCTATTTTACTATTTATGGACAACTCCCCTTGCCATAACCAAGCCGCAGTATTTTCCAACGTCAAATTGATACAGTTGTCTCCG